TTGTGACCTCCGTTGTCGGAGCTTGTTTGAATAAGCTATCTATTGTGATTTTTAGACAGCCTACAGTCAACTGTATTCTCTTTGCTACAGTATTACCGTGCTACAATATCTTCTTTTTTTCCTTTTTCTTTTTCTTCGTCTTGATTCTTGTAACACCATTGATCTTCACTTTTGTATAATGTCTGTCTTGCGAACACGCTCCCGGATCCATCATCGCCGCTCTGATACTACTTGTTAGGGATTTTTAGTCTCCACACCTACTACGATCTACGCAATTCCGAAGTCAACTCGCAATCAACAAAATAGAAAACACCACAATCAGGAAGAAAGAACACCGAGATTTACATGGTTCGGTCGACTAACTTCGACTTACATCCACAAGGCAACAATATGAGAAATTCACTATGTATCAGAGAGAACTACAAGAGTAACCACTCAACTCTCGTCTGTCAATCTCTCAACCTCACTTACATAATCAACTCTCATATTCTCTCCAAGGTCCTCTCCTTACAATCTTTGGAACGAACAAAGACTGTGAAACGTACTCTCTCCCAATAATATAATCTTTTGCACGGACAAAGACTACGAAACCCTCGCCTCTTGCACAATATTTTTGAATCAGGTTATGCCCTCTGCTAACCCTAGATTATAAGAATATTGGCTCTCTCTCATCTGCTTGGTTTTTCCTCCAACAATAGAAGAATATATATAGGAAAACCAAAACTCTATCTCTACCCTAACTTCCTAATTATAATAGAATTTAAACTCCTAATCATGATGAGACTCAATCTCCTAATCATGATAGATCTCTAACCATATCTAATTCTCATGAACTTATACAAAGAATCAAAGACAAAATCCTAACATAATCAATATATTAAAAGTTTCTTTTGTTACATCGAAGCTCTAAAGTTATACTGAGAATTGATGGTGATATAATTTTATATTCTTGTCATGCATCAATAGATTGAGCGTCATGTTTCTTGAACCCAAAAAAGCCATGAACTCAGACAAAGGTATTAAATTTGACATGATTGAATGGCATATTAAAGGTTCATTCTACTACACTGAAGTTGTTTTTAACAACTTTACGAACGTAATTTTAGTGGATACGTACCATCTTGGTCCAAAAACTAGGCCCGAATAAAGGAAGTTTTTTGGTTTATTTTGGCCTGTTTTCATGGAGCTGACAAAAACCACCCAAAACCTCGAAATTATAGTGAGAGTTGAGGGTCATAATTTTACCCTCGTAACAGATACTAACAATTACTGTTGTAATTATAACTATCTTTTGTGAATAATAACAGTCAATCTTAATCCAAACCAATCAAGATATTATCAACTGCAATAATGGCACTAATCCAACTTTGAAAAGATTTGACATCAGTATCATCACAGCAAAGTTGGAAGCAACCATGTTCGGTACATGTCAATTTTATCTTGGTTG